ATTCGATCATTACTTATAATTTAAAATTTTAATATAGCTATTTGTATTTGCAATAACCCTATAATTTCATAAGTCTACTATATGTCGCCCGCGACTCCGTCCGCGCTGGATTAAAAATAGATGTTGGCCGATTCTCAGACCTACTCAATATGCTCACAAAATTTCATGAGAATCGGTCAAGCCGTTTCGGAGGAGTATGCGAAAGAAAATTGTGACACGAGAATTTTATATAAGCTAATAAGCGTAAGGTATTCACTTAAATAAAAACTTTAACAGAAAATAATATTAAAAGTTTCTCTTTTCTTTTTCTATCCACTAATTAAATGGCTGTCAAACCAGACAATTTTAAAATGTTCAGTTAACCGTGAGTTTTAAACACCAAAATCTCCATTTAAAACATATTGTCATCTCTTTTTTGTCAAAGATAATGACAGGGACGACGATATGTTTTATACAGAGATTTTAGTCTCAGAAACTCACGATTAGTCATTCTATGTAATTTCGTTCTAAAAGCGATCTTTAGTACAATGAACATATTGAAATTCTAAGACTATTATGTTGAGGTTATTGCGTTCAATCACACTGACAAAATTCCCGTTACGATACGAAACTGTTCGATCAATTTCAATGAAGTCAAGGACAACTCAGTTGACCGGTTGATCAGTCTAAGACAGCTGTTTTTATTTCGATAAAATTCACTTTATCTGTATGTTTGTTTGAATGATAGTTGACTAATAATTAAAATATGTAAAATGTTATTAAACATACCAATGGTATTCATATCGTTTGTTTTACCGTTTAGATCATTTTCAGTACTAATTCCCATACAAACATGTATTTACTTTGTTCCCGTAATGACTAAGACTGAACAGTATGTTTTTTGTTTCAGCGAAAGTATGCCGAATGCAAACAGCTGGTTTTTATTATTTATGTATGTCAGAAACAATATGTTGAATCTATTTTAAGTTCCTCAGTTATTTATATCCATACAAATCAGTGTTTTTGTGCCCCTAAGCGATACTTAATTGATATTTATCAAATGCCTTGTACTTATCAACATAAAGACCATGCCCTAAATGGTAAGGGCGCCTATTAGTGGACATTTCGTATGACATATGTACAGTCAGCTGCATAAATATGAATACATTTACAAATCTTCAGAAACTCACATACACCTTCAGTTCCAAAAAATTGTATGCACTTATCGATCTGTATATTTTCGACCAAGACATGTTACTATTTTTTAAAACAAGTTTCTTAAGTATTGTAACATACATATTTATGCAGCTGACTGTACAAAGGTATACTTACATGTACTCTCAAGTCGGAACAAATTGAAGTTCCTTAGCAGATAGTCGTGCAGAGTGAGGAACTGTAGGTTTAGCTTGGGAAGAGCGAGGCAGTTCTCTCCGCTGAAAATCTCAGTAGGCACCACGTTCTCGTCCCATATCACGTCTTCCGTAGGATACAGAGGCATCGAGTTGAGCTCCTCTAGTTGTGATATACGTCGTTCGTGTCTAGATATCTGAGTAAACAAACGTATTATTTTAATAGTATAGGACATTTGATTTGGCACATCAGAAACAAAAGTACTCTTCTGTCTGAGGTGCCAACTCAAGCACTAAGTTAAAACAACATTTTATCATCAAATCATAATTACGTATTAACTACGTAGAAAATCCCTTTAAGAATATAAAATGTTCTCTACAAAACAAGATGTATAAATTTTCTAATCTGATTTTTAAGACTTGTAAATTGTGTTGCAATTTTTTGACAAGCGCCTGTTGTTTTATTAACAACAAAAAATAAAAAGTCTAATACCGAGAAGAAGAACAATAAGGCAGAGGCAAAAAATATTTAAGATATCCCAAAATAGCTTAGTCATTTCCAATGAACATATCCATGTTATGTCTCACTGTAGAGTACCAAACTTTTTCAATTGATGAATACAAAAATATTTCGTTTATAAATAGCAAAATTACGAGCCTAATTTTATAGCAACACTGAATTCAATTGTTCTTACCAATAATTCTTTAAGGAACTCCTTGTCTAGTCTGTGCCAGGCTGCTTCGTCTTCCTTACCTTCCGGCGGCACCAGGTTCAAGTAGGTAGCGATTGCACGTAACGCTTTATCACTATGGAAATGAATATTAATAAAGTGACATGTTAAAGACCGTCAATCCAACGAAAAGAGTTCCATCTGTTCATTTCATACGAGATATAAATTTTTTCGTCAGATATGTCCGATGAGGTCATTCCTGGCCTTTAAATATACAAAGATAAATATGTTATAAAACAAATGTTTTAGTAGTTTATTGTAAACTAGCTGTCGCCCGCGACTCCGTCCGCGCGGAATTAAAAAAGACTTAATCTCATATGTTCTTCAAAACTATGTTCTATATCTATGGTAGATTTCAGTGAGATCCGTACAGCTTTTCTGGAGATACCTTAAAACAAACATCCATATATCCATTCATCCATCTAAACATTCGCATTTATAATATTAGTAAGAAGCAGGAAGTAATATGTTATCAAATAAAAAATAAAGGTGTGGTTTTTGCGGGTACTGACGTTACTGACCTACAATAATGTATTTAATTTTATACAGCGTGTCCCAAAATTCTTGAATTTGGGGACACGCTGCATATGTACTTAGCATATCCTATTATTAAAGTATCACAGTGCAAGTTAATTTTTTTAATCAAGATGGACCTTATCCTACAGTCAGGTAGAATTAAAATGAGAATTTATGGGGTCGGGATCAACAAATTATATTTTTTTGTATATAATGAGGTCTCATAATATATTCTTCCCAAGTAGGGTTGTTGACTGGCGGGCGGTCGGCCGTAAAAAAAAACAAATTATGAAGGTTTAAAAATTTGAACGCCGATCTCACGTGAGTGGGATAAGATGCTTTGACATTCTAAGCAAGTAATTTTTTTTTAATTATTGATATTTTTATATCTGTATCCATATGAAGGGTACAGAGTACATTCAGACTAAAGGGGTTAATCGTTATATTCGGTATGCGGCACCATACTATCGAAGGGACCAAGTCGAACAACTTGCGGTTGGAACTGGTCTGGACCGGCATAGTTCATTGACCTCTCTCGTACAGGAATACATCACGATTTAATTTGTATAAATGAATGTTGATGGAAGAAATTATATACTGCAACGAATAAGTCTCGCAAATAGAGTTAAAACTTCGAATATTATGAAACATATTTGTAAGGATATAAGAATATTTCTGTGCTTTCCAAATTCATAGAAGCAAGTTACGAAATGAGATGCAACAAAATATATTTTTCATGCAATATGTATTCTTAAAAGAGCTTGAGACATCACAGTAAAATACTAAAGTATAAATTAGAAACAAAACATAGATAAATACTGAAATGTACAAAACTCACCTTAAATTACCAAAATGTTTTTGTAGAGATTCTCTTGTGTCTACACTGGCAACATTAGCTAAGGAGAAGAGACGCAGATCGGGGAATTTTGAAAACGCTGCTTTCTGTCAACAAAACTCGATTTGATATTGAAAACGATATCTTCAACTATAGATTTTAGTATTGTATTCACAACAAATGAAATTACAAGTAGTGCCATCTAGTGTCAGTACTAAAAAACTGTGCTATATATTAAATAAGTAATTAATTATCGGAATAATCAGATGTTATAATTGTTAGTGTTGGTTACCACGCCACGATCATAACAGTGGAAACAATATTTTTTGGTAAGTGTTTGGTCACTGAAAACTCACAACTAGACTAACATTTAGCAATAGTTGTTAAATTTAACTAGAAAATATTAATATTATGTTCTTTAAATATTGGTAAATTTATCATGAGCATTTTCAGTGACAACGTTGATGTCTTTTGTTAACAAGATATTGCATCATATGAATAGACTTGATACCTTCAAAAGGATTCAACCACCAACCTGTAAGGATGTGATCCTGGAGTAGTGCTGCAGAGTCATGTCACGATCTGTCATCGGGTCTCCGGTCTCATCGCTGATTTCGAAACGGGCGTAGAACTTCAGCATTTGCAGAAGCTGTAACCAAAGTAATATATCACTCGTATTTAAGAAATTAAATTACATATATAATTCAAAATAATTATAATATTAAACTACCAACACGATAAACACCTTGATTTAAAATTAAGATTAATTAGTAAATGTTACACAGATATTATGTCATAATTTTACAAATTAAATTCTAGATTTCATAAGAATATTAAATGTACTTAGTGTAGGTACATATAAAAAAACATGTCGCCAAGTAAGGCAAACAAAAGTGGTTATTAAAATACCCATATATGATCGGTTCTTAACTACATATTGTTTACAATGATTTTAATTCCAAACAATTTGGTCACGATAGGTCATTGGATTGCCCGATATGGCCATGGCTTAAAACTTGATAGTAACCAAGGTTTATATTTAAACTCTCATGAATAAACAATCGCGCGTGTTTAGTTCAGCACGGTGCTGCCAGCGTATAGTTTTTAACAATACGTAGGGAAATATTCAAGATTAAAAAACTTTTGTTTTATGGTCTTTAAATTGAGACATTTAGCTTAAAAAAGTATTAGATAACTAAATCGTATTTTTCATAATAATGTAACTAAGGTGGGGTCATGATGACACAACATTCGATTTTATCAATATGCAGTAAACAGTTCAATGGTTCCAGGTACCTAGTTATTATCTATATCAACCATGAACAGGAAAGATACGTATTCTAGCAAATTATTCTGGAACATTCGATTTAAAGAAATAGCTATAAAACTAAGATATAACTATTTCTATTGACTCAAATAATCTATAGTGTCATAAAATAGCAACTCCACTCGTGTTATTATCATTTTTAATAATAAACCAGCGAGAATAAGTGGATAAAGAAATAAAATGTGTAAATTGTAAGTTAAGGTTGACAACACTGATAATACCGTACTGTCTAGTATCAAAAAAACTCAGTAGTGTAAGTCAGAACAAGGAGGCGTGCGCGCGCCGGTTCATTACTTGCCGGCAATTCGTTCAATTTACGTAGAATTTTAAGTTTTTATTGAAAGTAATGCTTTACAAAGAACAAGTGAAAATGAACAAAATGTCAGGCTTTGTTATAATGCTTGTAATTATTTTAAGTGCAATATATGTTGACTCAAGCGAGTTTTGTTGTAAACCAGGCCAGTTTATATATAAGGGCGTAAACAGAACTAGAACATGTTATGATCCTGTATCGGGAACTAATTCTGAAGTGCTAATTACTTGTGAGATAAATGTGTTATTAGTTGAAGACGATACGTATACATTTAGTGTGAACGATGAGAAATATTTGGTTATCAGTATGCCTAACTTTCAATCTGAATTGGAGCCTGAAACGTAAGTTTTAAAGTTGTCATTAAATTTTTTTTTCAATGTAATTACACAAATAATTAATTCAAACTTGATACCTTCACGCGTTTTGGAGAAAAAAGGGTCTTGACAGACAGACGGACGGACAACAAAGTGATCCTATAAGGGTTCCGTTTTTTTCCTTTCGAGGTGTGGTATCCTAATAAAAATAAATAACCTCACTAGCACTAAAAACTAGGGCGTCATAGCCATCTATGGACGGCTTTTATTGGTATAATTATAAAAGCTAGACAAAAATCTATTTTTTGTGAAAATTTTTAAACTATTTACAATGACGCATTATTGCATAATGCTAAATATACACAAAAACAGATGTTTTATTTTCAATGTTGAAATAACGCATGTTTTTATTTTTAAAACATCGCTAAAACGGGGTAGGCCTATGCCCAGCAGTGGGCGTCTCATGGCTGAACAAGTAATCAAGTACAAATACAACATCATTGAAGAACAGATAAAAATAAGATTTTCCTTACTATTTTGTTGAAGTTGGAGCCAACGGTTTCTGGAACTAATATTACATTCAAAACTCTAGAATATATCTAAAAGTGCGGGCATTGGTACGCTACGCTACGGTTAAAAAAATCGCATGATTTTTGTTTATAAAGAAGTGGTTATTTTAACGTCCGTCCTTGGTAAGACGGCTGCCAAATAAAGAGCGATTGGAGTAATAAACAGATTTCAAAAGACGATAGATGTTAACACGTCCAGTGCCTCTGCCTTTTTTAGTTACTTTCGTACTAAAATTAACTTGCTATATCAGTGAACGTATTAAGAGTCGGGTTTTTTAGTTCTTGTAATTGAAGTCACTTAGTAATACTGTTTATTAAAAATTCAGAATAATCATAATCATCATTATCATCAGCTCACTATATGTCCTCACCGAGGGGCTCGGTGCCTACCCTAAGTTAAGGGTGATTAGGCCATAGTCAACCACGCCGGCCCAGTGCAGGTTGGTTGACTTCACAAATATCGTTGAATTTCTTCTCAGATATGTGCAGGTTTCATCACGATGTTTTCCTTCGCCGTAAGAACGTCGGATAAATGTACATATGTGAATCAGAAATCGAAAAACACATTGATACATGGCGGGATTCGAACCCAGCACCTGCAGATTGCAAGTCAAGTGCTTGACCACTGAGCCACCGACGCACTGTATAATATTTCAAGTAAAAATACGAAAATAAAAGTTAATAGATCAAAAACTTTTATTAAAACTATTGCTTATTAGTGTGTTTCTTAGACTAAAATCCCTTTATAAAATATATTGTTATCTCTGTTTTGTCAATTATAATGACAGGGACAACGATATGTTTTAAACAGTGATTTTGGTTACATAAAGAAAAGATATTGAAGGTATTTAAAGTATAAATTCCCTAAGATAATAAAAATATATTTATTCAACCTTTTTGGGAAATATTTAATTTAATATGACAACATTTAAAATTAAACGTTAAACAAATAAGGAAAATATTTTACTATTCTGAATAACAACAATATTACTTGCAGATATTCAGTAAGACGTTAGTTTCGAACGAGTAGTTCCATAAAAACATGAGTAAATTTGTTATTTTAGTATTAATTTTTAATGTAATAAATGCAGTGCGTCTGGATGAATCACCACGTGCTTGTTGTGATTCTGATCAGTTTGTTATAGTAATAAACAAGTCCAGAATATGCTGGAGTCCTACGTCAGAGATATCTCCAATATCACTCAATTGTTCAGGAAGTATATTAGAATATAAAGTAAACATTATTGGTAATACACAAGCAATTATTGTGGATAGCAAAGAAATAGAATTAAACACAGGTAACGATATCTTACTAATATTATAAATGCAAATGTTAGGATGGATGGATGTTTGAAGGTATCTCCGGAACGTCTCAACGAATTTTGGCATGTAGTCTTTAAGAACACATAGGCTTATTATGTTTTAAATCTAAACCTATATGCATTTCTTAAATTCTTTCCATTAGTTGATAGAAAACAGTTTTTAAAAAATAATTTTAATGGTTGGTAATCTTCATGGTTTCTATACGTTCTTTTTGTTTTCAAATTAATGGAATACAAAAAAAAACTTTAGAACCACTTTTGCCTTTTCACGCTATAAAAAAATACAATTTCGTTAAAGAGTTTAAACAAAAAGAGATCAAAGTAAAAATGTACCACTTTAAAATAACGCAGTAAAATTGCGCCGAAAGTAAATCTAACCGTCTATAAAATCTAAAACACAACATAAACCATTCTATCTTAAGTGTATGATAAATAAAACCAACAAAAACAAAGTAGTTTATTACACAATCTTTTAACATCGATTAGAGGGAGACAACTATAGCTTCGTGCCTTAGTAGTTTTTAAACGTAATATAACATATAGTCAGTTTCCATTATTACATAGACAATGGATTAAATGACAACCATAAATCATTTCTTATATTTCTTGTCCTTATGCCACTATGTAGGGTTGGCAATAACAAAAGATATAAACGAAACATGAGTGTCGGTGGCTCAGTGGTCAATCACTTGACTTGCAATCTGCAGGTCCTGGGTTCGAATCCAGCCATGTACCAATGTGTTTTACGATTTCCGATTAACATATGTACATTTATCCGACGTTCTTACGGTGAAGGTAAACATCGTGATGCAACCTGCACATATCTGAGAAGAAATTCAAAGATATGTGTGAAGTCAACCAACCCGCACTTGGCCAGCGTGGTTGACTATGGCCAAATCCCCCTTAACTTAGGGTAGGCTCCGAGCCCCTCGGTGGGGACGTTTAGTGAGCTGATGATGATGATAAACGAAACTAAACGAATTAATAATGGTCTAAATTCGAGACCTAGGCCATCCATAGAAAAAAGAAGACAAGAATATATATTTTAGTATCACCTAACTTTTTATAATTAATTAAATTCGACTCGGCTGATACGATCTTCCATTATTCAAGACCTTTTGTCAGTCTTAAATTGTGCATTGACAATATTGGAATGCACTTTAAATTCAACGTACGCCTCAAGGCTATCTACAAAAGGCAAAATAGCAATCAACATGACTACATAATTATTATCATCACGTTAACTTATTAAAAATAAGTTTTTAAATTCAATGACTTGTTTTTAAATTTCAGATTTTGCATTGGCAATTATTCTATAAGTACGAACACATCTTCGTTACTGAATGCGAGGAAAGCAGCCATCATTTGCGAGGTAGACGAAGAGAATGCAATAGTTGATCAAAGCGTATTGGCGTACTGTATGCTTGTGTCAGTCATTTTTCTAACTCTGACAGCTATTGTCTACATTGCACTACCTGAAGTAAGGTGAGTACAAATTAAACTTATCATTTAAACTCCTGCCAAATTCCCAAAGGGAAGGGGAAAAGAGGATTAGATTTGGTAGAGAGGTAATTATGTATAAAAAAATGAATTATCCATTTCTTGTACATCCTCTTCTTTACACATAAAAAGTATAGCGTCCTAAATATTTGAGATTAAATTTGTAATTGTGAATGTCAATCTACGGGCAGCGGTCACTTCGCTTTTTCAGCGTTATCATCAGATCGCTGTACGCTTTTTTACCACCATTAAGTCGTCAACGACCAAATCTGTGACCAGTATGCTTAGAAAATTGGTTATTATTTAAACTGATATATAAACACGGCTAAACACTCACGTATATTCCGGTCCGGTGGTGGCACCGCCTAGTTTCGAGCCCATCGGGGACCCTTCATCAGGATAAGTGGTACTGGTATTATTTCGCGGACGCGGCCCATCGCTCACACGAAAGTTTGAATCATTTGGTTACTATTTAACATTAAAAAAGGATTTGAATTCTTCTGTGTCTTCTATTTAATTGAATTTCTAATCTTTTCAGGGATTTGAACGGAAAGAGTATCATATGTTTCTGCATCTCTCTCGCTCTTGGTTTGCTCTGTTTGGCGATTATGAATCTCATTAGCTCATACTCCGACATGAATCTCTGCGCAACTCGAGGTATGAAAACAAATAAACGAGATATTTTAATACAAAGTTTGAACGGCAATAAACAATGTTATTCTGTTTTAGGTTTTCTCACGTATTACTTTTTCATTGCAAGTTTCTTCTGGACCAATGCTATATCAATACAGATCCTTCGTAACATGAGGTATGGACCATACTAACATATATTAACAGTAATAATGTCATATGATAGTTCATGTTTTGAAAATACGATGCAGATTTACCAGAGGGGTTAGACAAAATGCATTAGCTTCGAAGAGATTCCATAACGAACTTCAAAAATGTATGGAACTGACGCGCGACAATCACATGACTCTCCAAAAGTTATTGTCAGTTCAATCTTATAATATATAAAATTCTCCTGTCACAATTTTCGTTTCCATACTCCTCCGAAATGACTTGACCGATTCTCATGAAATTTTGAGAGCATATTGAGTAGGTCTGAGAATCGGCTACTATCTATTTTTCTTTATTCCGCACGGACGGAGTCGCGGGCGACAGCTAGTACATTTTTAAAGTTTGCTATGGAATCGCTTCGAAACGATTGCATTTTGTCTAACTCCACTGCATCAGTATTAAAGAATGTTGAGTCAATGTTTTGTTTGATGTTTCAGACGTCCATTAACAGTGGACTACGGTTGGAAGGAGTTTGCGTGGTACGCCCTGTATGCGTGGGGAGCAAGCGCCGCGATAACTATAGCCATGGCCATTGTAAACTTCCTTCCTGGGAATCATCAGAAGCCCGGAATAGGATTGAACCATTGCTGGTTTTTCGGTATGTCAAATGATGACATCAAGTCTTATGAACATTTTGTATGTTCATGTAACCCCTATAGTCAAGCGGGCAACTAGTAAAAAATATCAATTGAAGCAATTACTAAAACATGACACAGTAGTTTAAAATGACTAAATTTTAAACGAAGTTAATTCGTATTATTCATTAACCTCGGTTTTCTGAGACCAAAATCTCCGTTTAAAACATATAACCATCTCAGTTTTGTCTAACATAATGACAAGGATAACGATATGTTTCATACAGAGATTTGATTACCTACTAACGTTAGTAATTGATTATTGATGTTTGACTAAAATTGCCTTTACATGTGAACAGACAAGAAGCAGCAGTGGTACTACATGTACAGTGTGATGTCAATCCTGATCTCAGCCAACATCTGCATCTTCGTGTACACCTCAGTGCTGCTCTGGCGGCAGAGCTTCGCATCTACGCATCTCAAGGCCCTTAAATACAAGTCTGTATACTGATTGATCTTTCAGTTTCCTAACATGAAATGGGTGAACAAATACAATTGATTTCATTACTAGCTGTCGCCCGCAACTCCGTCCGCGCGGAATTAAAAAAAACTGAATAAGTAGCATATGTGTTCTTCCAGACTATGTTCTATATCTATGCCAAATAACATCAAGAGCTATTCAGGAGATACCTTCAAACAAACATCCATCCATCCATCAAAACATTCCCATTTATAATATTAGTAAGATTGGTATATCTTTGTCTATATCTTCGATCGTCTTCTGTTTAGTTACCGCACCTTATTCGTCACCGTTTATTTATAGATTGACAAATGTATCGTTAAAATGCAAATTATATCGTTAAACATTAAAACAGAAATGACGTAATACAAAATCTCAGTACTTATTAACTGATTTAATTACTTTTACGTTGACGACCATACCTATTTTTATTATTATCTTAAGCTCGCCCTCGATTTCGTCAGCACAGAATTTAAAAAAAACTGACCTTAATTTAATAATATACATTCAGCCTTTTCCCGTCAAAGTCAAGCTGTTTCGGAGATTACCCGGAAATAACTCGGACTTGCGGACAAACAGTCAGACAAAAGTTACAAAAAATTATCTCTTAGCTATAAATAAATACATCATGTTCACGAAATATGACTTTATTATTCAAGACAAATAACCATTCAGTGTTAAATGGAATGCTGCACCATTAGTTTTACAAATTACATAACGTCCTTACAACAATAGCAAAGAGATTTAAATATTCTGCGTATCTTTATCATTGTTGTTTCACACACACGTAATACATTTTTATACATTTTATTTCTTATACAATGTAGAGTTCATTGATCCTAATTAATAATCATGTAATTTGAATTATTAAGATACTAGTTTTCACCCGCAACTCCGTCCGCGCGGAATTAAAAAATACTGAATAAGTAGCGAAATCTGGATGAGCTTTGCTCGGTATTTTTTTTTAAATTGTGTTTTTTGGAAATTATATTTAAGAACGAATTACTAATAAAATGATGAAATATGAATAATATTTTTCGATCTTACTAATAGAAAAAGTTAAGTTTATGTTTAAGTTGATTATCGATAAAACACGAATAAAATGATATTTTCTAAAAATGATTCCTAGCTAGATCGATTTATCGCCCCCGAAACCCTCTATATACTAAATTTTATGAAAATCATTGGAGCCGATTCCGAGATTCCAATTATATATTTATATATATAAGAATTGCTCATTTAAAGATATAAGATATGTGTTCTTCCAGACTATGTTTTACATCTATGCCAAATTTTAGCGAGATCCATATATGCGCATTTATAACAATAGTAAAATTAAAATATTTGGTCGTAGTTTTCTGTATAGCATATTAAAATCTCACTAGCTTTTGTCCATATTAATTGATTACATCCTAATATTATTAGTATAGTTTAATTCTATTGATTTACACTAATTGAGTATTAGATAAACAATTTCAGTCATATGTTTTATGTTTGTATATCGAATGAAGTAACGACATAATGGAAATTAATGTGGCCGATGTTCAAAAAATTAACAATTAACATTTCGTGTTTCAGATTCATGATGACTGTCAGATTGTTCATCATAATGGGAGTTCCGTGGGTCTTCGAGATGATAAGTTCAGTTTCGAATAAAAGTATTATTTGGTACGTATTACAGTGTCCATCAGTTCCGTTTCCCAAAGACAAAACGTAAATTACAACCAAATCCAAATAAAAAATTGTTTAACATATCTTGAAAGTCAAAGACTTGTAAGATGCAGTACTTGTGGGCGTTATAATTGTTCATGATAATGACGTCAACAGACTCGATAACTGTTATCGTGGCGTTATCTTGACTCGAGCACAAAGACCAACTATTAATAGCAAACCTAAAGGCATTGTATTTGTATGCAAAGTAAATCACAGACGCTTCGCTATGCGCTATTTCGGTTACAATTACGACAGTCCACTAGTGGCGTGTTTAGTAAAAGAGAAATGAAATATAAATTAATACTCGATCGATTCGATTCTTTAAGATCGCTTTGATTATATTTTTATTATTTTCTATTAGATGGAATATTGATTTCGGCCTAATTGCGATGTCTTTGCTCGTACGATAACGTAATTTGAGACAACACAACTATTTCATTGTTACAGGGTAATACTGGACTTTGTGAACGTGCTGCAAGGTCCGCTGATCTTCTTGGTGCTGGTGGTGCTGCGGAGACGCGTGGTGAAGGCGCTGTTGCGGCGCGGCGTGCTCGACTGCCTCGCGCCGCACGTGGAGCGACATCTCGCGCTCGCTGACGACGACGAGGACGTCATACAACATACCATGGATGTGCCGATGGACGAGAAAGTCACTATCAATTAGGCCATGATTTTACTATACACATACTAATGATAGCCGCTGACTGTAACCAGGTTTAGAATAAGCCTCGAAGAACGCCCAAATACCTACTGTATTTTTGATCTGCGACTCGACTTGAACACTTTTATAATGTCTTCAAACTGTATTTGCCAAGGGGAAGGTTTGGAATGAATCTAAGGAGCTTATTACTGTAATACTATAGGGCAAAACTATAATATTGTGAAGTACAAACAGTACCTAATTTTATTGATTAATTTTAATAATTTTAATAATAGTGAATCGAATGTAGAAATGATGTAGGTTAAATTCTACGTGCAAATATCCGACTTGGGTTTGTAAAGTACCGGAATAGTAAAATTCCCAAACTAAACTTTAAAAAAACCGATAGCAGTAAGAATACAAGAATGCATCAGTACCAAACTAGTCAAAAAACTTTACCTTAAATATTTCATATATGTTACGTTATTAACACAGAAATAATTAAATAAAATATTATTTTAATTTATGATACATACATATAATAAGAATTAATGATAATGCATTTGTTTCTTTGAAATTAATATTAAAATCACGCATTTATCAAACAAGATACTCTTACAATATGTACTTATTTATTTTATTGCAGTTTAGTTCTAATCAAGAATCTATATAAGTTTATGAAGAATATTTTAATGTATATAATTATGTATAATATACATACATACGTATACAAAAAAATCTTTGTACCAATTGTATATTATGGTGGTTTAACCTTACAAAACTAATCATAATGGAATAACGTAAATTAAGCAGAGATTTAGTTTTTTAAAATATTTATATAAATGTTGGTTCTGTATTTTAAAATAGACTTTTTGTCGTTTTTTTTTTATAACAACTAACAAATAAATGTTATGTATAACAATCAATCATGTTTATTTTATAAACCAAAAAATCCTGTTATGTCGTTATTTGCTGGTTAAAATATTTAAAAACCTAGTATGTATTAAAAAAATCAATATTGGATTTTAAACGTTTTTGAAATTCTAAACAAATTTTATTAGTTTTATTTTAACTACATCTAGCGGCATCTTCCTGCACTACGTAGATAATATTCAGAATTCGGAAACTACATTACTTTACCTTATCAATCGAATGTCGGTTTAAGAATCATTGAATGATCCAATTTGGATCGTTATTACAGATCTATACATATGCAAAAAATAATTATCAATTATATAGTACCTGCATATTCAAAGTGAAATTGCAGCAAGAAGTGGTAGTATTTAAATCGCTGCCTAGATGGCGTTGTAATACAACACGAAAATATATTAAAAAGGTTCCGTTTGAAAAGATTCATTCAGGTCTTAAGTCGTGAGATTCTCACAAAATAGCAATTGATTCCAGATAAAAGCGGAGCAAAATATATTTTATTAGATAGCCATCACGATTAAAAAATACAGAAAACATTGCCTTCTATTTTCTGTTGATAGTCACTTGTCGTTTGCAATGGTCGAGGAAGATCGACACATGTTATTATAAGTTTTAAGCCAGTCAATTAAACAATTAAACTGAAGGTGTATAAAGGCTTTAATCGAGTAAATTCCTACCGTGGTTTACCACTGACATAACACTCCAATAATTAAAACCAGAAGAGAATAATATATATGTTTTGTACGTGTTATTGGGCAGTGGAAACTCAAAATCTTCATAATACAAACACATTGTATCAACGTATTTGTATACGGAAAGATAACAAGCAAGCTATCGCTATGGTCTGATTTATTTCCGAGATAAATATTACTAACTATTCGTGCCTGGCGATACCCCGATTTTAATACGGAAATGTTATAGAAAAATTGTTTTTTTTTTAAACAATCAATGTCACAATAGAACATATTCGTGAAAATCAATTTAAGAAAAAGTAAATTCTCTGAATATTGTCGAAAAATTCCTGTCACGTTATGGTCATATATTTTATTCTTACGTATTTTCAAGAAAATGGCGCGAACTCATTATTTCTATGCAGCCAAATAAATTTTATTACAGCTAAATTAATAAAATTGCCCATTAATAATTTATTGTAATCATTGAGTTTCAATTGAAAATATTTACTTTTTTCTACAACAGTACCTATTAATATAATTTCGTAACAATTTTCTTAGCGACTGTACATTAATATCAACTTTAGCTACCCTTTAAATATCATGACAAAACGATAAAGTAAAATTGCGTTAATTTCATTCACGGCATCGTGCAAGTCGCACGCATTCAAAAACGACGCATCATCGAGTGTTTCTCGATACAGATAATTAAGAATCGAAATAAATATAAATTTTATAGATAATCGATTCATAGCTGTTTGTGCATTTTGTTAATGTGCTGCGAGGTGTTGTAACGGTTACTCGCTGTTGGACAAAATGAAGGTAAGACATTTTCGTTATAATAAATAGGAGTTAAAGAGTTATTAATATTTTTATTCTTGTTTGATTTTATATATTGCTAAAAATTATGTATATTTAATACTTGGAAATAAAATTATTTCCTATAAAATTGTAAATTAGTATAATTTCAAAATTATATATTTTTTTATTTATGCAATATTATTTTTACAGCAATAAAGAATATATATTTAGACATATCAATAAGTTTATCACGTACTTATATATCATTACGTTAATTACGATGTTTACAGAGTACATAGTCTCGAGTAGTAAATGAATTTACATATTTACATAGTTATATCTAATATTTAGCGAGTTTTAAACGTTTAAACGTTCTAGAGAAACAACATAGCTAATCTTAAAAGAATTTAATTTTTTATCTATGTGGTGGGTATTTTAATACTATTATTATATACCTAATTTATGTATCTTTCCTTTTATTATGTTTATACTAAATTTCACACTATATACTGATTGTTTCAAGGATTATTAAGATATATTATACCAGTAGTATATTTAAATTTTTTGTCCGCGTGTATTATAAATTTGCGGGTACTCTTTAATAAATCGATACATCACGATGGATTTATTAATTTATTTTATTATTATTATTATATTATTTAAATATTAACTAAATCATACATGAATAGCATGATAGTTATATCACCTTGTCAGTGAAACAAAACATAGTTGGCCTGTCATTTGTATCTTACGATAAGTCGAATGTAAAGTCAATAAACTTCGCTTATGACCCGACACAGGGGTTACGACTAACAAATTATTGTTTATATTTAAATTATAGCTTTAGCCTGCTACTCCGTTTGCGAAGAATTAAAAACAAATGTATTAGTAGCCTAGGTAATCTTTTAGATTATTTTCTACATCTATACCAAATTTAACTAAGATCCGTAAAGCCTATCTGGATGTACCTTCTAACAAACATTCTATTCATCCATCTAACCTATATTACAGCATCTGGTAATAAAATGAATAACAAACTAAGTAACTTTACAATTATAATTTTTTTTAATTATTTACAGACAATTACAGTGGTATAATTTCTTACTTATTGTTCATTGATTGAAAAAAAAACTAAATTTTTTTTCTTTTAAACAGTTTGACAGTCAGAAAACAAGATTTTTATTAAATGTGATAAATTAGCAAACTTACATTCTTGTCATTTTATAAGTGTAACCTATTCTGTGATAAATTTGAAAGGCGTTATTTCTGTTAAAGCATGTTATAATGTTTTGTACATAATTAAATCATTATTCAATTGGAATATTACTCACAAATCGATACACAAATGTGATAAATGTTCAATGCACCCCGGACCATATAGCGATGCCAACTTATCTGACACCACATGGCCACATGTCAGTTTTTGTAACGTGAGCACAGCCCATGCTTACATTAAAACTTTAATTCAATAGCTTAAATGCATCGGTTTCTATTGCAATGTAATATTATTCAATAATAATCTTATTAATAATACTATCTCATATCATACTAATATTATAAATGCGAAACTATATGTAGAATATGGTCCGGAAGAACACATAGGCTACTAATTAGTTTATTTTTAAATTCACGCGGACAACAGCTAGTTTTTGTATTAATTGATTTTACAATTTATTTATTTTTTAATTATTAAATGATATTTTTATATAATTTAAATGTTACATACAAAGTTATTAAGCTTAAAGTTCAAAAGGTCATTGACTTTTATGACACTTTCGTATCTCCCTAAGCACTGTTGCTGTTTTTAATGAAAATATTTAAACACAGTTCATTCTCACACCATAAATGTTGTTTCAAATTAAAAGCAATTAAAATGCAAGTGGTTATTTCTCCTTTGTTTGCATCCGACACGAATAAACAGAGATGGCGCGTAAAGTTCTATATTTAAACATCTCAAGTGTCGGACAAAAAGAAACGGCGCACGCGCACAATGTTGGCTAAATTGGGATTAATGAACGGACATGCAACGAATTAATACATCCAAATAATAATTAAAAACAATGTCATTAAAAAATATCGTATCTTTTCAAATAAATAAAGCTTTTTACAGTATGATTATTTAAATAAATTGTTTTACCACATCACGTTAACCATGCGAAAAGAAATGTTTAGGTCATCAGCGAGTTAGTAAAATATCTGTAAGCAAAACCAATAAGGCACTTACCATGGCTTTCTAAGGCCAACATCCCAACATATTGTTATCTCTGTGTTTTGTTAAAGGCAATGACAGGGATGACGATATGTTTTATAATTGTATTTTGGTCTCGGAAACCAACGGTTATTCAATTCTTTGTCTGGAATCAGATGACAAGTAATGGTAGAATTGTCAATGTGGCAATGTTTTTATAATAAGCACGTGCCGTTTTTTATTTATCCCATATATGTCTTCCCGCAATACAAATAAGGCAAACGATACAAAAAAACATATCATTCGTTTGTAAACAAGTTGATGAAGAAGCGACGATACGGAATCTCCATTTGTAATAATTATTCTCGGAATATTTAACGTCGAGTACGTCACAGTATTTTATTATTGAGAAGACGAATTAGTGATATTCAAGTTTTGAATTTCACAAACTCAGAAATGTAGTAAAACCACTGACTAGTTCAGACCCATCGGAGTAACTAAAACGTTAATGTTAGCTTACGACTAACTCGCTATATACACAAATCCTTTTAAAAAAATTACAATATTATAACGCTAAAGTTAATATGTGCCTGGATGTTTGTTACAAGAACGGCTCAATGAATATTGATGTGGCACACATGTAGAACATAGCCTGGGAGAACATATAGGCTACTTGTTATTTTTTTAATTCCGCGCGGACAGTCACGGGCAACATTTAGCTTGTAATATAATTTAAAATGGATCCTAGTTAAATATGAGTTAACGGAAGTAACCGTACATCCCGGTGATAAGATAAATACAAATTTGTCTATGCTAAAGTTTCATTTACAATGATTTCAAAGTCGATTTATCTGTTATTTTTATTTTTTATCTATAATCTATACATTTATTTTTAATTGTAAACATAACTTACGTTTTGTATGATTGTTATTCTCTAAACAAG